CCTGAGCAGCATCTGTGAGTTGTCTTGGAGGAAGCATACTAGGACAGTTGAGGTTTAAAACCCTTCTGGGGGGCCAAGCCCGTGGCTCACTTGGGAGAGTGCGGCACTGGGAGCGCAGCAATGCTCCCGCCGCAGGTTTGGATCCTATATAGGAATGGCCGGTGGGCTTCTGGGGGGCCAAGCCCGTGGCTCACTTGGGAGAGTGCAGCACTGGGAGCGCAGCAATGCTCCCGCCGCAGGTTTGGATCCTATATAGGAATGGCCGGTGTGCTCACTGGCTGAGCGTGGTGTGGGTGACACCACACCAAGGGTTGCGATCCCCTTACCGGTCACGAAAAAGACAAAAAAAATTAAAAAATAAAACCCTTCTGGGTTTCTTGGAAGCTGAACCTAAGGGCCACTGGTCAAGGAAAGACTGTTGGAACCTATTCTGAGATGCCATGGACCTGGGGGACTCATGAAATTCACGACATCATCAAGAAGGGAACTACAAATAGCCATCCATGTATCAACAGTGTGTCTGTAAGGGACCTCAACACCATTAGTTCTAGTGTTTTATTTTTTACTTTTTTAAAGTGTTTTATTTTTTACTTTTTTATCAGAGTGGAGATGTCAAGTAGGCAGTTGAATGCGTGAGTCTGGAGCTCTGGACAGAAGCTGGAGGTAGAGATCTGAGTCTGGGATGTGTTTAAAGCCATAAGACTAAATGAGGTTCCTAAGACACTCAGTGGAGAGAGAGGGAGGAGAGGATGTCCCAGGACACTCTGGCATTGGAAAGAGGCCAGCAGAGGAGGCTGAGAGAGTGGCCTGTGAAGTTTGAGGAGAAGCAGGACAGAGGGTGTCTCTGGGGCCAAAAGCAGAAAGTGTTTCAAGAAAGAGGGAGTGGCCAGCCGTGTTGGTGTTGAGAGGCTGAGTAAGCTGAGGGCAGAGAACTGACCACTGGATTTGGTGCAGATAGGAATCAAGGTGAAGAGCTGGCACTGCCCGTCTAGCTTCTAGACCTCACAAATTACAGATGAGGAAACAGAGGGGGGTTGACTTGGCTGAGTTCACACAGTGAATTAAATGACAGAGTTGGGACTAGATCCCAGGCCCCCTGGTGTCCTAAAGGGTGGGCTTTATGTGCCTGATACCAGCCTTCTCCCTCAGGCCACAAGCTGGACGTTCAGGCCTCAGTTTCTTACTGGTAATCCCTCTGCAGAGGATTACCAAGTACCCACTGCTGCTGCAGAAAATCCTGGAGAACACGCTCCCTGATGCCAGTGCCCACCCTGTCCTTCAAAGGGCAACATCTGCCCTCCAGGACGTGAATGCCAACATCAATGAGTACAAGATGCGCAAGGAAGTGGGTAAGAATCGGGGAATTTAGGGGATACATAAGTGAGAATGCCTCCAGTTACAGAAAACTCATCTCAAACTGCTTCACCAATAAAGAGAATGTAGTGGCTCATGTAACTAGAGGTAATGTGGGCTTCAGGTAGGGTTTGATCAAGGTGCTGGCTTAATTTCCCTGCAACTGTCTTGTCTCTGCTTTTAACTGTGTGTCAACTTCATCTTCAGGCTGGCTTCCCTCATAGTATTAAGTGGCTATTGCTGTTCTAAGACTCATATCTGCACACCACATCCTACAGGGTATGGATTTTTTCCCCCTTATCCATAAAAATTAAATTGGAGCTTCACTCTTATAGGACCTATTTAGGTCATGTGCTCGTCCTGAACCAATCACCATTGGTGGGGTGCCATGAACTGATTGGCTTAGGCCTGGGTTATGAGCCCTTCTTTAAACGAATCACTGTTGCCAAGGAGATGGGATTATGTGAATTGGCTTATACCAGTCAGCTCCTGCCCCTTGAGCCAAAGTGAGATCCAACCGCATGGCTGCTACACTGTGGAGGAGAAATGAATACGGGGGTGGTGAAGAGCTGTGTATATTTGGAGGGAGTGAAGGGACTCCTGTCTCCCGGATTGTTAAAACAGAAAGGTTTGGAAAATGAAGCAGTGTCCCCAAGTATAGAGAAACTCAATTGCACAACCAAGACAATATAATAATGATAATTTAACTAAATTTACTGAGGGCTAACTATGCCACGAATTTTCCTTCATTATCTTATTTGATCCTTGCACTAGCCCTCTGAGGTCAGCCCTGGTTCACAGGTGGGTAAAATGAGAGTCTATGTCAGTTGCTCCTGGTCACAGAGCTGATAAGGGACAAAATCAGATTTCAAACTCAGACCTAGAGTCTGCACTACCATGCCCTACTATATCTGGTAGCTTTGGATTTCCCCCCCTCTTACTTCTTCCTCCAGGTTGAGATGACATTGAGTCAGGAGTGGTAAGTGTGGTTCCCAGCTGGCCTGGCTAAAACTGGCTGAGGGACCCCAGGCAAATCGTCTCTCACTGGGTTCTTCTTTAGAAAGTCCATTGAGACCCACTATCTTATGTGATCCAACAATCCTGTAAGGTGGCTAGTCTCATTTTACAGATGAGGAAACTGAGTCCCTAAGGGATGATGACTCACCAAAATCAGGCAGGAAGCTTGCCAGCCAGAGCTCATGCCTGGAAGGACAGAGGATCCTGAGCCCTGTGCTTTTTCTACGTGACTCACCATTCTGATGGAAGGGATCTTGTCGGAGCAGAGGGCCCAATAGGTGCCCAGCCAGGCATGCCAGTGACGCTTGCTGTCCTGGGTCAGCTTTGGTCACAGGCGCTCTCTCTCTTCTCTGTTGGTGCAGCCTCCAAGTACACCAAGGTAGAGCAGCTGACCCTGCGGGAGCGGCTGGCCCGCATCAACACGCACACCCTCTCCAAGAAGACCACACGGCTGAGCCAGCTGCTGAAGCAGGAGGCAGGACTGGCGCCCAAGGTGAGCACTGGCCCAGGAGGCCAAGCCTTTGCAGTGGGTGGGGCAGGAGGCTTAGGCTCTTCTCAGGAGTGAGGCAACTGAGGCTGAGAGAGTGAGGCGCCAGGAAGAGGCAGTTGGCATCCCCACCTGATTTTGTGGAGCCAGTGTAGGACTTTCTCAACTGCATCTTGTGTTACTCTTTCTCTGGGGCCTCTTTACCCAGATATGAGAGCCAGTCTCTGGGTCTGGGCAAAGAATCAGCCTCAAATATACTAGTAGTAGCTGAGGTTGATTGAGTACTTATTCTGAACCAGGTGTTATTTGATCCATACAATGAAGTAGGTGTTCTTATTATCCCCATTTTGCAAAGGAGAAAATAATACTCAGAGAGGGTAAAACACTTGGCCATGGTTGCACAGCTAGGAAGTGAATGAAGTCAGGACTCATATGTTTGTATGTCTGATTCCATGGTCTGAATGTAAAACACTGAGATACACTGCCCTTTAACCATCCCACTCAGCTTTGGTGCTGGAGGAACCAGCTCTGGTGGGTGGATCTGTGGAAAGTTTGTCCCTAGTGAAGACTTGGGACAAGGAATCTGGGTATACACTGCCCCACATGGATCTTCTCAGCCCTCACGCATAACTTTACTTTCAGATGAAAGACAAGGAATTCGATGATTTGGGGGAGAGGTTCCAATGGGTGTGTCTGTGTGTGACCGAGCTGAGGAACAATGTGGCTGCTTACCTGGATCATCTGGAGGTGAGGACCTTGCAGAGTTAATAATGGGTGGGTCGGAGCTGGGTTACCTGGACAGGAAGCATGTGGGGCACAGTCCACAAGTTGGCAAAGGCACCAGCTACAGGAACCAAACAGATGAGGTCATTCAGTCTCTGGCTACTGGCCAGAAGAGAGCGGGCAAGGACTGCTCAGCCTGCAGGTCGCTAGGCTGGGGGCAGGTTCTGAGCCCACCGGGGTTCCCATGGGGCAGTGTCAAGATTCACTGGGGTCAGAGGGACCCTGCCAGACCAGTACCTAGAGCAGGGGAGACAAAATCAGGTGCCTAAAGGGGCCAGGCAGGTAATAGTATCCAGTGAAGTGTGCAGGTCATAGGCAATACAATGCAATAGGAGCCTAATGTCTCACACGCTGTTTATGAGACATTTCCAGGACATGTAAGTATAAAATAATATTTGGAATTTGAATGGCTGAATGAATGAATAAAATCTAAAGGGGCAACTATTACTCAGCTCTGGGGGGGTTGTTGCTATGGGAATATGCTGTGTGGCCAGTTCTTCTGATTTTAAGAAAAAAAAACAACAACCTGGAAATTCAGACTTTTAGGTGAAGTCTCCTGATGTGTCAGTGGGAGCAACTAATTAAATAAAAATTTAAATACTATGCAGGCCCAAGCAAATATATCTCTACAAACTGAATTCAGCCCACAGGGCCACCAGTGTTCATGTCCCTCCCGCACGTCACTTTCCTCGAGCCAAAATCCTCCTCCATTCTCGTCATCAGTGCTGACTCAGTCCATCCACACTGCCCCCTTTACATGTTTTGTTCTCAGTCACGTCCATTTGCACAAACTCCTTGGTCAGAGACGATCATGGGCTCTACTCTCGTCATCAGTGCTGACTCAGTCCATCCACACTGCCCCCTTTACACGTTTTGTTCTCAGTCACGTCCATTTGCACAAACTCCTTGGTCAGAGACGATCATGGGCTCTATAGATAACGGGATTTAGGGTGGCATTATTGGAAGTATTTAAAAGGAAAGAGGCTGTAGTTCCACACCCCTGCGTGTGGGTCAGATCCCCTGCTTGTTCATGCTGCACCCTGTGCTCATCCTCAGTGGAAGGATCTGAGGAGCCAGGATCCTGGTATAGCACAGTGAGCCAGAAGGGGGAGGTGTGCAGGGCCATGTTATGAAAAAGGAAGGAGGGGCCTGCAGGTTCTGGGTCTTGAGAGAGATAAACCAGAGGACATGAGAGATCATCTGGCTTTGCTGGGCAGGATGAATATCTGGAAGCCTTAAGGCTGTGTTTCCGTACACTCAGGGCTTACACAACAGATGCATTGTTAACATGGAATACCAAAGTGAGGAAGGGATTCCCCCTCTCTTAATTCTCTGAGTCAAGCAAAAGCCTTTTTGCTGATACGTCTTTAACATGTGCAGAATGAGTCTCAGGCTGGGCGTCTTCAGCAGGCAATGATAATCACACAGCATTGAATATCATAGTTTTGTTTTTATAGCAATTATTTTTACATGCCTCTCTATGACAATTGTTACTGGTTTTCCCTTTATGGTAGTGTCATAAGGTGTTTTTTTTTTAATGCATTGATTTTAATAGAGATGGTTAGTTGATTTAAAGAAAAATCTTAATAGAAATGTAGAATATGGATGTGGCAAAAAAAATCAGAAAAGTGGCACACAAATGTGTGAAGTTTGGGAAGCACTGGGATAAGGAGAAAGACATTGGCTCTGTATAAGGAAGAACTTTCTAATCACCCAAGTTGTGTGAGGAAAGAATAGGCTGGGTGCTTCCCTGTCACTGGGGGTGTGTAGAGAGCCCTGACGACCTCTTCAGGAGGAATGGTGGAGGGGATTCAGGCATAAGATGGCTACGATGGGCCGTGACCAGATGTCTCCTGTTGGCCCTGGGTCCAGGCTCTCTTGCGCTTCAGGCCACACGAATACAATCTGGACATCCCCGAGGGACCCGTGGTGCAGTATTGCAACCTGGCGAGAGACCTTCAGCGGGAGGCCTTCCTGGAGTTTGTGAGTGGCACTTTTCTATTCTCCTTTCTTGGTTAAGCAGGCAGCAGAGCCTACAAGAATCATATTTAGAAGTCAGGCACTTTACAGAATTGTCATATCCCCAACTGCCCTGCGTGGTCAGCAGGGCAGAGATGATTATTAATGCATTTTACTGATAAAAATAGCCCCAGCTAACATTTATGGAGGCTCACTATCTGCCAGGCACTGTGCTAAGCCCTTTACATTCTTTACCTCATCTAATCCTCACCACATGGCTTTGGGGGTAAATACTATGAATAGCTCCATTCTGCATATGGGAGCTTGAGCTCAGAGAGGGTGACCTCCTTGGTTATTTACACACATGGTCAGTAGCGAGCGGGGATCTGAGCCCTAAAGACTATGCTCTGGACCACTGCTCTTACCTAAATCTTCAAGATCTTTGCACAGTAGTGATACTAGGAAGTGATATATATTGAATACCTACTTTGTGCCAGGCACTCTGTTAAGCTTGTTATGTGCATCGTCCTCATTTTTCCAATCGGCAGGTTGAGGCCCAGAAAGGTTAGATAACATGCTGCAGGTCACAGCTCATCTTTGGGGGTGGGACTGGTACCCAGGCCGGCCTGCCTCCAAAGCCCCTTCTCCCAGCCCTGCCCTCTGCCTCGTTTCCTGACTCCCAAACTCACCTCTCCCCACAGAAGCAGCGGCTGGAAAGCCTGGTGTGGCGGCCACTGTGCAGCCTGGCCAAAGCCCTGGTCGGCCCTCAGAACCTGATCAAGAAACGTCTGGGCAAATTGCTGGATTTTGAGCGGGTGGAAGAGAAGCTGTTGGAAGTGGGCAGCATGACCTATGAGGAGGAGGCGGCCCGCCACACATACCAGGCACTCAATGCCCTGCTAGTGGCTGAGCTGCCACAGTTTAACCAACTGGTTGTGCAGTGGCTTGGCCAGATCCTGTGCACGTTTGTGGCCCTCCAGGGGGACCTTGCAAAACAAGTGCTGCAGAGGGCAGCAGGTGTCATGGCCCAGGTAAGACTGCTGGGACTGGGGCACCTCTGGGGAACAGCCAGGCAAGGTCTTGCAGCCCCTTCAGCCAGCTGTTTGTAGGGGCTGGGATGGAGTGAAGCTGGGCCTTCCAAACAGGCCATCAGACGCTTAGGAGGAGGTAGCGGGGACCTTCTGGTTCTCTCTCGTGCCTATTCTCCTTCCATTAGTGGAGTCAGACCATGAAAGCAAGGATAGGACTAGGACTCCAGGCCATACCCAGCTTCTGGGACTGAGAAGCAAAAAAAGGCTTTGCTGGGGAAATAGCAGAACTTGGAGCCAATCCCTGGAGTGTATTAGAAGTTGGTGAGAGACAGAAGCTCTCTCTACACCATCTCTCACCTAAAGCCACACAATAGGAGGCTTTAACCCTGGCAGTTCAAATCCAGAGCCTGGGCTCTGAACCACAACACTCAAGAGCCCGTAAAAGGAGCTACTAGGTGAAAGCATAAATAGGTTCCAAAGAGGTTTGGACAAATTTCCAAGTGCAAACTTTAATTTTGGAATTTTGAAAACTAGAGGTGATATAGGAAAGAATACTGAACCACTTCTAGATCTTGCTCTCTGATGTCAACATGAGAGCTAAATAGCTTGTGGATCCAACTTTGGGAACAATTCAGCATTCCTCCTACCATACGCTGTCTCCTGTATTCACGTTCCCCAACTCAGCTTTCCCCATCCAATTCTTTGCATGAAAATTCCTCTAAGAGTTGCCTTCCCCTCCCGTAGTCCCTCCTGTTTAGCACACCGCTCTGTGTGTGACCACATTCCCTTTGAGCAGACTCCTTCCTCAGCCTGCAACACCCCCTCCATTGTCCCCCAGGCCTTTCACAGCCCCTGGTATATAATAGGAGCTCCCTAAATATAAAAAGACTGTCAGCCAAGAATTCTGTCTCTGGCAAAACTAACCTTCAAATATGAAGGAGAAACGAAGTCTTTCCTAGACAAACAAAGCTAAGGGAATTCACCAATACTAGACCTGACTTATAAAAAATGCTAAGGGGAGTTTTTCAATGTGAAAGAAGATAATGCTAAGGAGCAACAAGAAAACATCTGAAGGTACAAAACTCATGAGTAAAGACAACCTCAGAATACTCTGTTATCATAAAGATGGTGAATTAACCACTTACATCCATAGTATGAAGACTAAAGGACAAACCTAACAAGACAACAACAAATACAGACACCATGTAAGAGAAAGGCAATATAAAAGATGTAAATTAAAACAACAAAATTTCAAAAAGTTTGGGGCAGGGGACACTGGCCAGATAACTCAATTGGTTACAGCATGGAATTATAACACCAGAGTCAAAGGTTTGGATCCCTTTATTGCCTAGCCACCAAAACAAACAAACAAACAAAAACAAGAAAACAAAAAAGTTGGGTGGGGGGATGACACTAAAGTGTAGAGTTAGCTTTGGTTCCCACACAGCCCATGTGTATCTGGCCTCACAAGACCCAGAAGTGAACAAAAGGTCAACTATTGAAATCTGAGCTGCACAAAAAGCCTTCCCCAGAGAATCAGCAACAAAAGAACAATTCAGCATAACCACAGGGCACAAGTTCTGGTCCCCTCAGGAAGTTCCCTCAGTTTTAGAATTAACCAAAGAACAACAAATTAGTTCCAGTGCAGAGTTTAAGTGGTGATGGTGGATAATAATCCAATACTGAACTGAAAAATAAAATCTCTGATATTAACCAGTAAAGGTCTAATACCACCAAAGAACACCTATAAAACCTAGAAGAGGTAGCAGTCACCTCAAATGCCCAGACATCAATGTAAAGACACAAAGATTGAGAAAGAACAGAGAAATATGACACCGTCAAAGCAAACAAACCAACCATCAGCAATAGACCCAGAGGAACAGAGAATTTACGAAATGTCTGACAGAGAATTCAGAATAACCCTCTTAAGGATGTTCAGGGAGTCACAGGAAAATACAGATAGAAAATTAAATAATATCTGGAGAAAAATCCAGGAGCAGAATGAAAACTTGATAAAAGAATTGAATCAATTTTTTAAAATGCAAATTCTAGCAATAAAGAATACATTATCTGAACTGAAAATGGATGGAAATCTTCAACAGCAGACTTAATCAAGCTGAGGAAGAAATCAGTGAGCTTGAAGATAAAACATATGAAATTATCAAGTCAGAGGAGCAAAAAGAAAAAAGAATAAGAAAAATTGAAACAGAAATACAG